TGGATGAGCCTAAACTGGGAGTTGCCTGTACTTTATAAGGAGGGAAAGGGACGCGGGTGGTGCTGTGGGTTAAACCAGAGCCTAGGACTTGCTGATCAGAAGGTCGGTGGTGAGCTCCTGTTGCTCGGTCCCTGCTCCTGCCCACCTAGCAGTTCGAAAGCACGTCAAAGTGCAAGTAGATAAATAGGAACCACTCCGGCGGGAAGGTAAACGGCGTTTCCGTGCACTGCTCTGGTTCACCAGAAGCGGCTTAGTCATGCTGGCCACATGACTCAGAAGCTGTACACCCGCTCCCTTGGCCAGTAAAGCGAGATGAGCGCCACAACCCCAGAGTCGGACATGACTGGACCTAATGGTCAGGGGTCCCTTTACCTTTACCTATAAGGAGGGAAGCCAGGGCAGTGAAACCAGACACTTGCAAGCCACGAAATGTGCTAATTTTTTGGTTCTAAATCATACAACTTCTACAGATCAAGCCAAATGCTTCCCACTACCAGCCATATGTAGCAGTCCTTGGTTTTGCTACCTGTTTGGCACTGCAAAAAATAAAATCAAATAAGGGTGAGGTTGTCAAGCACATGACAAACCACAACACATGGGTGATGGCCAGTGTCGTGGGCTACATGTTCAACTGCCCTGCTTTACGTTTATCATAATTCTGTCACAGCAACTCTCTGACACAGCATCCTCAGGTGCCATTTTTTTGCAATAGGGCTTTGATGGTCAGACCTTACACTTGATGAAGATTTTTGTTAGCGATAAGACATCCCGAGCACCGATCCACACACATTCATGGGAAATATGGTCCACTGAAATGTTCGTTTGTAGGATCACCACTAGCTGTGATTCTAGGTGGCTGTTGAAGCTAAGGCACTTTCACGCCATAGGTTTCAAATGCCTTGATACCACTTTAAACAGTCATGGCTTTCCCCCCAAAGATTTCTGGGAACTGGAGTTTAAGGATACTGAGAGTTGTTCAGTGACCTCTATTCCCCATTAAATAACCGAAAACGCAGAGTTGTAATGTATTTGATTTGGGTACCGTTTGCCACTAGTTTATCTATACTTGCCAATACGTTCTTTTTGAAATCAGTGGGGCTCCTCCGCACATTAACCCGGCATTAAATCTCATTGACTTCAGTAACTTGGCACAGGATTTTAACATTTGGGCACGTTCTCCCCCCTTCACCCCCATTTCCTAGGTAACCAGCCGCAGCAAGGTGTGAATCCATATGGCCATCCTTCAAACTTCTGAATCTGGAAGATGGGAATAAGACAAAGTGTTTGCACTGAAGAATAGGGAAACAGAATTTGTTGCACTAATTATCTCCCCCCCCCCCCCAATTTTTTGTGCTGCAACTGATGTGAATATATAAGAAATAGGTGATTTTTTTGTTTTGTTTTTGCACTTAACTAATTATAAATGTATGGATTATGTGGGATTATATGAAGAACATTTGTTGCTGAAGAATATATGGATTTGGTGCTTTTAGGGTATGAACACTCCCCGCTCCCCTCTACAGGATTAAAAATCCTTCCTTTCTTTTTGTGGAAAACAAGTTTTGTTTTTCTTAAGAACTGCACTGGACCAAACTACTTACGAAAAAGGCACTTCCATATTTTTTTTTATTTAATGCACAAGGGTGGCTTCCCCCCCCCTTTGTTTTCGGTAGAATGTGTATTGATTTCGGTTTTTTAAATTAATTTTGATCATGTTTGTAGATTTCATAAGCACTTTATAAAAGAATTTGTTTGAAAAGTTCCTGATTTTTCTGTTGCTTTTATTGTGGTAATAAAGTTCCTGAAGGAGGATCCTGACCTGTATTCATCAAGTTTCTATTTAAAAATCCAGTAGTTTGACAATAATAAGCCTACTAGACTTCAGTACAAATCTCCGTAGCAAGATCTCCTACCTGCAGATGATCAAAATGAGTACCCAAAACCTAAATAATCACATGTTCAGTCATGCTCAGGGTTGCAGCCTATAACTGCAGTTTGAGACTAGAATAATTAAATGCATAGGTTTTCATTCTGTTTCCTGTAATTCCACTGGAGATATGCTAACATGGTTTCCACAGCATGCACCGGAAATTAAGATAACCATTTTCTATCTCTCAGTGTGGGTATTTCAGAATAATTTCAGGGAAGTTGTTTAATCTTCTAATTCTTCTTTTTTACACATGTTTCCAGGTATTCTGAACAGTTTTCCAAAAGATTTCATAATACAGTTGAAATGTAAGGAAATAGCTGTTTTCTGAAATGCTGTAGAACTATTACTTTCCTTTGGATTTTCCATATATATTAAATAAAATCACTTCATCCACTCAACTGGGTCTACACTCCCCATGAAAAAATGTTCCTTTACACAAGCTGTCATGTCTAGAAGATGGGTAGTTTTATTTTTGTGTGACTTTATTCAGTCATGAAACCCCAACTGCAGTCTAAAGTGGTACATTTCAGACAAAGGTTTACCACCTCATCTGCTGTTTGTGAGAACTAGGCCTTAGTTTTCCAGTCACAGAAATAGTTACTTATTATTTTGTACGGTGGGTGTTCAAAAATTTGGTTATTTTTAGTTGTGTAAATAAATTCAGCTGTATTTATTTATAAATTTGCTGCCAAAGCACAAGTAAATTATCATCAGATTTATTACTATAAAAACAGAAACTATTTTAATCTTGTGGAAGTGGCATTTGCTCATATTCGAGTAAAGAATAATCAAAAGAAACTACTGTTTTGTGAATTTTTAGTATTCTGTGATAACCTTTTAGAATTAGATGCACAAATTTTGAATGTGACTCATGTAGGGCATTTAAAAAAATACTTGAGACTATTTGACTATGTTTTCTGTATGAACTTTTCATTTGCCTTGTGATAAGCCGATCGTAAGGCTTACTGTGAATAAACAATCTCTACTGAGCAAATTAGTCAGATTATGTAAAATGAAATCTGCATTGCTATACCCGGCTGACGCATTTCTACCTTCCCACAGGATGTCCAAATCTTTAGTGTAATAAATACTTTTTGAACTGTTGTGTTTGTTGTGAAAACATCTGCACAATGATCCACTTGCACCCAGTATCTGCCTACTTATGCAATGAAGATACGCCTATGCAATATGACTTTTGATTCTTCTTTTCCCTCTTCCTGTTCTGCCTCCCCATGTCCTCAAAGTCTGCTCCAGAGGGTCCCCAATTCCTCTGGGAACAGATTGTGAGGACACCAGGCGCCAGAAAGGGGCAAGAGGAATAAGCTCTGTTTAAGGAGTGGACTTGTGCTATGCTAGTTCCAGATTTCATTACATTGGGAGTTACTCCTCGAAATACGAAGGCATATTTCCCTTAATATTGTAGGTTATCATAAGTTATTAAGAGCTGAAAATATATTTTAATATATCTTGTGTGTCAAAAAGTTGCAGGTGCGTGTTGACCTCTGCTGCCACTGTGTATATTATGGCAAAGGTAGAATAGCACTCACTTGCATGCTCTGTTGCGCCTGTTCAGCCTGTGTGAACTTATTGTTTTTTGTCCCAATGTCTTTTGGCCTTTAGTTATGCAGAAACTCATCTATCATTTTGCTGACAGTCCCCTATGTTTGGATAGGTTCTTTGTTGATAATCTTCTTGGGATTTTACCACCCTGGTTTAAACATTACATAAAATTGTTTAAAGAGCACACCTGAATTAATGGTTGTCAAAACTATTTTACTCACGCTTTGGGGACGTTTTCTCTCCATGAACCCTGCCCATGCACATGGTTTTAAAATGGAGTTTAAATAAGGACGCAAGAATGACCTTAATGGGTCAGACAGGGCTGTCTTAAGCATATTCATTGCCGGGGTGCAAAGATCTGCCTGCCCCCCCCCCAGTTGCGCAGGAGGGCGGAGCCAGCTGCCTGCCTCAGCATCTCGCTGGCTCGGTCGCCCCCAAACTCATGGCGCAGAGCCGCCCACAGCAGAAGAGCCCATTCTGACCGACTGATGGGCTCTTCCCCAGACTCAACTCTTGGGCCCCGGACTCTCGACCTGGCGCCCGTGAGAGCTCGGGTGCCCTACACCCCTAGTGCCTATGGGTAAGACAGCCCTGGGGTCAGATCAGTATTCTCTTTCCCACACAGCCACATCCAAATGCATCTGGTACAGTCTTTACCAACTTAGTAATGCATGTAAGTTGCGGGCTTACTGTACACACGTGGGTAAAGGTAAAGGTACCCCTGCCCGTACGGGCCAGTCTTGACAGACTCTAGGGTTGTGCGCTCATCTCACTCTAGAGGCTGGGAGCCAGCGCTGTCCGCAGACACTTCCGGGTCACGTGGCCAGCATGACAAGCTGCATCTGGCGAGCCAGCGCAGCACACGGAACGCCGTTTACCTTCCCGCTGGTAAGCGGTCCCTATTTATCTACTTGCACCTAGGGGTGCTTTCAAACTGCTAGGTTGGCAGGCGCTGGGACCGAACGACAGGAGCGCACCCCGCCGCAGGGATTCGAACCGCCGACCATGCGATCGGCAAGTCCTAGGCGCTGAGGTTTTACCCACAGCGCCACCCACGTCCCTAATTTTCTCTTTACGTGGATCAAGCAAAGCCTAATTTTCTCTTTACGTGGATCAAGCAAAAGATGAGCCTTCCATTAGAGCAATATAACAATTATGGATGCTGCTCTCCAAATGTTTTTGGACTGTAGCTTCCTGGCTGTTGGCCATGCTGGCTGGGGCTGATGGGGATTGGGGCCCAACAACATCTAGAGAGTCATAGGTTCTCAACCTTGGTTGACTCAGCTCTTTCATTCTTACAGATTTGGAACTTGACTGCAGAGGCTAAGGACAGGTTGTGATTGCTCTAGACCAGTAGCTGCCCAGCTGTTGTTGGACGACATCTCTCGCCAACCCTGACCACTGGCCATGGTGGCTGGGGATGATAAGAGCTCAACAACAGCTGGAGGGCCATAGGTTCCCTACCAGTGCCCTATACCCTTAAAAACACCACACCAGAACATTCTGTTTTCACATGATTGGGTAATATTATTACATTGCGCTGCTCACAATTGTGGAACTCTTTTTCTCTTGGATATTGTGAAAGTTTTGCATCCAAACAGATCCTCCACTGCAGAACAAAGGAAAATACTGTCAAGGTGTTCCTGTTATCTGCTCAGGTTCTGGATGTCCTCGACCCAGCAAAGACCAAATCTGGGAATACGGCATACAGTGGTACCTCGGGTTAAGTACTTAATTCGTTCTGGAGGTCTGTTCTTAACCTGAAACTGTTCTTAACCTGAAGCACCACTTTAGCTAATGGGGCTTCCTGCTGCCGCCGTGCTGCTGGAGCCCGATTTCTGTTATCATCCTGAAGCAAAGTTCTTAACCCGAGGTACTATTTCTGGGTTAGCAGAGTCTGTAACCTGAAGCGCCTGTAACCTGAAGCATATGTAACCCGAGGCACCACTGTATTTCCATCAGGAGAAAGGCTGTTCCTGCTATAGTTTTGCCCATAGTCAACTGGCATGATAGTGGTTGTAATATTTGCAGGAGGCAGTGTGATGGAGTTGCCATCATCTCTTGGCCTTGGCAGAGAGGCAAGATAAGATAAGTGAAACATGCATTCAGATCCAGGAGTGGAGCAGGTAAACTATATCTAGGTCTGGGCTGCTACATTTTGATCCTCATGTGTGTGTTTTTAAGCAGCCAGTAAGAATAAACCACAAGTTCCTATAGTTCAGACATACCAGGAAAAGGTATGCCATTTTGAGATTTCCAGTTAAATGCACATTTCTTAAAAGAGTTTTGAAGTATGAATTTTATTCAGGTCCCAATAAAGTAGCTAGCATCTTAAGCATGTAGAAAAAGGTTGCTAATTCTTGCTTTCCCTCTTGGAGGGATAGTGTCACACAACAGTTGTGGGCTTAGGCTGGTGGATCAAGATTTGTGCCATGTTAGCTGCATATTCACCTGTTCTGCAACAAACTAGATGCAGGGAATCATGTATGGTCAGCAGTCTATAATGCAGTGGGAGTTCTTGGCATAGCCTGCGGTCTGGGATCCAGAGTTCTCCTACTCTGACAGAGCACAGCCTTATATCACTAGAGTCAAAGTTCTATCCTATGTGGCACGTATAAACAGATGTCTTTTGCGGCTGCCCTAAGAATATACCTTAATTGACAGGCAATATAAAAATATTTACAATAAATAAATAAGGTACTCGGCGCAATTTCTTGGAGACAGCTGTATTCTGTTGGAGTAGACCAAAGGTTCTTTCTTTGCATCAATTTTTCAGCCAGTGCCTCCAGGTGCCCAGAACAAGCAAGAAGAAAAGTACACTGTCCTACTGCTTCCTCCTCAGTCTCTGCTCATGCATTGCATACTTATTAAACTTAAAGGCACTTTATTCTTTTTATGTAAAATGTTTAGCAGCTGAATGGCAATTATACATCTGCACTTCTTTATATGCAGATCTGATTGCTTTTTTATTTTACAAAAATAATCCATATTGTCTTTAAAATAAAACACACACAACCCTATCAAACTATTTTCTACTGGTTCTTCCATTGCCCCACAAAAAAGGACTCCTGCGTGAAAGAACTAAATTTCAGTATTACAAAACTGGCAGCACCTTTTTGTTTAAAAACAACAACAATGGTAAGATAGATACAAAATATTCATATTTGTCCACAAGGTAACGAACAGCCATCCCATTTCTTCTTTTTTCTTTACGTATCTTATATTTCATACTTCTTGTACTACTACCAAATGGGAAGTAAGAAACAACTTTTTAACAAACCCATCCTTGCACTAAATATTTCAAGTTATATTGCGATGCATTTGACTGTCTTTAGTCAAGATGTAAGTGCCTTAAGTTCTCAATGTCGCTTTAAAAATACCTCTAATATATTCATATCGGAACATGATACAATTTTTCTCCAAATCTTTCTGTCTGTTACTGTGTCTACTGTAAACTGAGAATCGCAATTTTAACGAATCTGACATGACTGCTTTTGATTAAACATATTTGAAAGCCAAACTTTGGCTCCTGATTAGCCTTTGTTATCAATTGTTCAGGCTGCATTTCTCGTCTCAGATAACTTGAACGTATGTTACAGTGGAATCGCTGCCAAGCTGGTTCTTAGCCATGCACTTATAGATGCCAGCATCTGACAGCTTTGGATTCTGAATTACTAATGTTCCTTGTGGATGGAGAAGTTCACTTCCAGATGGCCGGCCTTTGCTGCCTGTGGAAAGTAATGAGTGGTCAGGCAGCTACCATGTAATTTCTGGATTTGGTATTCCCAGTGCCATGCAGTGAAGCTGAACTGGTACCCCAGCCACTGTGCGGATATTCCTTGGCGGTCTGTTTGTAATCCGTGGCGGGTGTGCCACAATAATTACAAAAACAACTACCGTTGAATCACCAGCGTAGTTCTGAGCTTTGCATGCATAACTTCCTCTGTCATGGATGGTGGTTTCTCTGATAATGAGGGTGCCATTTTCTAGTAACATATATCTCCCATTAATCTGAGGCCGGTCTAGGACGTCACCATTGGGGACTGTCCATATTATGCTTGGCTTGGGGCTTCCGCCAGCAAGACAGTGAAGGGATAACAGTTCCCCACTTATGCTTTTTATTGTTCCTCTTGGGTGGATAAAGATGGTGGGTTTCTGGCCAACTTCCAATATGACCAACTTTTCAATGTAGCCAACTTTATTTTTAGCAGCACACCGGTACTTGCCTGCATCTGCTTTGGAAGGACTGTAGATGACAAGGGTGCCATTGTCCCCCAAGAAGTAATGGAGTGTTCTAAAACCACTGGAAACCCTTGTTCCATTGGGTAACATCCAGATTATCTCGGGAGGGGGGTTTCCATCTACAGAGCAGTTCAAAAAGGCAGTTTTCCCAGCCTTTGCTATTACTTTCTCGTTAAATGGATTTCTGAACATTGGTCTCCTAAGCATTTCTAACACCTCCAGCTGGACCACCAATATGCTTTCTCCGCCATCGTTACGTGCCACACAGACAAACTCTGCCGTATCTGAAGACCTTACGTTACGAATTTCAAGAGTCCCATTTTTGTGTACTGTTATTCTACTCCCATAGTATGGGGCTGTTAAGAAAATATTGTCAGGCATAATCCACATGATTTGGGGTATGGGCGTTCCTTCAGCTCTGCAGTCTATTTGTTTCTTTGAGTGTTTTATGGCTGTTGTTTTAATGATAGTCTTGTTTGTATACAACCCATTGATGAGAGGCGGTTTAGAGATTACTTCAAGTTTATAAAGCCTTGTATCATCTCCACCAGAGTTGCGAGCAACACATATGTATTCTCCAGCATCTATGAGCCTCACCTTTGTGACGGACAAGGATCCATTAATGTGAAGAAAATACCTGTGATTGGAAGCTGAAATCATGTCATTGGAAGGCAACAACCAGAAAATGTTCGGCTTAGGTTGACCAGTGGTTTCACAGTTGAAAACTGCAGTGTCTCCTGCTCTGACTTTTGCATAGGTCTTGGAATTCTGCTTGATCCGTGGCGCCGCTGCTAGCACTGTTATGTGCACTTTCATTTCGTCTTTCCCAAGTGTGTTTTGAGCATAACACGTGTAGTCACCCTCTTCAGCTATTCCCACCTTGCTGAAATACAGTGTCCCGTTGTCAAACAGAGTGTACCTACGAGACCTGTGCCCACTGTCATCTGCTTGCATCACGTTGTTGATCCTTGTGCCGTCTGGCAAACTCCAAGATATCTCTGGTTCAGGGGACCCGGAAGCTTTGCAGTCCACTTTGAAGTCCTTCCCGTAAGGCACCAGTTTCTTAAAATACTGCTTTTGATCGATTTTTGCAGGCTTCATTGTCACGCTGACTTTCATTAGGATCAAGTCGTCTCCCATTTTATTCCTAGCCACGCATATATAGTCACCAGCATCCTTTTCTGTGACTCTTTCAACAGCCAACGATCCATTGGGATGCACATGGATTCGACTCCCCATTCTAAAAAGCAATGGAAGAAAGGAAAGGTATTTAGTCCGTTATACTTAAGAACAGGCATAGGCAAACTTGGCCCTCCAGATGTTTTGGAACTACAATTCCCATCATCCCTAGCTAACAGGACCAGCGGTCAGGGATGATGGGAATTGTTTCAAAACATCTGGAGGGCCGAGTTTGCCTATGCCTGCTTAAGAACATAAAAAGAGCCCTTCTGGGAGAAGCCAAAGGCCCATCTAGTCCAGAATTCTGTTTTGACAGCGGTCAACCACATGCCTATGGGAAGCCCACAACCAGAACCTTATATGCCAAAAAATACAGAGACCGTAACTGTAAAACTGCTGATTCTCAATGACATTAAAGACAAGCTAAGATATGAGTGCATTGAGTAGAAGCATTTGGAAGTTCCTTTGAGTCCTCTTCAGGAGTCATGAGTGGAGAGTACGGCTGCATCAAGCAACTCCTCCCATGGCAACTGTGCATATTGTGTGAACTTCTGCACAAAGGTGAGGGGGGGCTACACACATAGATGTATGTGCAAAGGCTTCCATGTTGGCTTATATCAGAATTGTGCAGGATTCCAGGTTGTGTGGAAGCCTTTGGAAGCCCCTCTCCCCCCATCTATAGGTACAGCTTGACTTGGTGGGAAATCTCCTTTGTCAAATGTAAGAGCGAACTGCAAGCCTACTTGTTCTTCATATGACATGCACTAGTTTTGGATCAGGAAAGTGCAAACATATCACTCCTCTGCTCATTCTGTTTGGAAGCCTTGCAGAGAGCTGGCAGATGTTAATTATGTGGACCAGACTCCAGGGATCTGCAATCTGTTTGGATTTAGATGCTTTGTTTAGGTCAGTCTAGAGATCACAAGATTTGTTACTGCCAAGCTCTAATATGGAAACCACTGGCTTCACTTAAGAACTCAATTGATGGTTAGTGGCCAAAACGTTGGGCAGAACTGTATTACTATGAGTTAAAGCAAACTCGGCCAAAATAAAATAAAATAAAATACTATGATATTGATGCTGTGGAGCTACAACCACCCAACCTAGGAATGAGGTTTTAATGGAAATAATACATTTACAAACAAGAGCTCATAGGAGCCTTGCTTGTCCCTGAAGTGGCTGTGGTGAAGACAGCCCTAACTGGACTGGGACAGTATGGTAAAATGTGCTTCAACCCTTATATCGTCAGTCTCATTCTTAAATACTGTAGCACTGTACTGCTCTGGCATCTAAAGGTGTAGTCCAAAGCTTCCACACCTGTTAGTGGAGTTTAAAGGAATGCAAAGACCACAACTGCATCTGCAGTCGTGTCTCTCACAGCATCTGGGTAGAAAGGTCAGGGCAATGGCTGGCGGCTGGCAAGAGAGCTGACTTAGCCAGCAGAGTTGGCTGAGAAACACTTCCATCAAATTCAACCACTACCACTCCACAGCCTGGTGTAAGGAGGGTTTGGATTGTTCTGCAAGTCACTCAGCAAATGACAGCTCGACACCCCTCATACCAAAGTACCAGAGCAGCTCAGCAAAGGGTGTCAAGAAATTCATTTGTTTGATTCAGCCCTCTTTGACACAAAGGCAGAACAGTTCATTTGTCCCAGAAGCTTTATCGTTCTCCTCCAGCACAACACTATCCAATATGAAATCCAATGGTTACAATATACCGTACTTTTCCGTGTATAGGACTAGGGTTGGTTTTTTTATTAAAAAATTATATTCAAAATTGTGGGTCGCCTTATACATGGATACAATCTCCCCCCATTTTCTCAATTTGGAGCCCCCCAAAATAGGGGGCGTCTTATACATGGGGGGCGTGTTATACACGGAAAAATATGGTGGCTAATCAAGCAAATAAGTAATGCTGCGATTTTCACGAGACCTACCTGTGCCACTGATCAACAACAGCTTTTGAAGGTAATCTCCATATTATCTTGGGTCTTGGCTCCCCTGTAGCTGAGCAGTTCAGAAGCAACCTGTCCCCAAAATTCAGCTGAGTCAGTCTTTGAGATGAAACTGTGATTCTGGGGACTGTGTCGCTATGTTCTACCTGGATGATGACCACTCTCCTCTCTGAGCCGGTGGAGCTGGTGGCTATGCATTCATAATTCCCACTGTCAGAAGGGCTGATATTCCTGATGTAAAGGGTTCCATTAGGGAAAAGGAAAAATTTGCCATTTATATACTGCAAAGGCTTCACCTCTGTTCCATCGAAGAGAACCCAGTGAACGTAGGGCTGTGGGTTTCCTTTGGCAGTGCAGGGCAGCTTCAAGCTTCCCCCAATATTCTCCAACATACGTTGCTTCTTCTCTTCCAGTATAATGGGTGGCGCAGCAATAACTTGCAGCCTCACTGTCATTGTATCTGAACCAGCTGCGTTGCTTGCTGTGCATGTGTAAATCCCTCTGTCGTAAACACTGGCTTTCTTTATCACCAGCGTGCCATCTGCTTGCACAGAAACAGCCTCATTTCCCATAGAAGATTCTGAGATGTAAGTTTTGTTTGCAAGGATCCATGATACGGTAGGAATGGGACGGCCTTCGGCAGTGCATTTCAGGGCTACTGGCTTGTCAGAGTGAACAGTAATAATTTTGGACCTCCCCTCCAGGATTCGAGGTGGATAAGTCACCACCGACAATGTGATAAGAAGCCTGTCGGAACCATGCTGATTGGCAGCCACACAGAGGTACTGTCCGCGGTCCTGGATGTTGACGTTCTGGATGGAGAGAGTCCCGTTGGGAAGAACCTCAAATCTGTTATCACGCTTGTGTTTTGACGCATCAACCCCTAGTTGAAAGAGATGGAAATAAAATTAGCCTAATCTCTGTATTAAAATCTTACTTTTTTGATTTGCTTGGCAGGTCAAATGGTTTTTATTTTGGTTTTTGTACTGCATTTCTATTGCTTTTGTGCTTCATCCCTTTTCTAAACTTTTCATCCTAAAAACCCCACTTTAATAAACTACCGTATTTACTCGAATCTAATGCTCACCTTTTTTGGCCAAATTGTGTTGCAAAAATTAAGGTGCACATGAGATTCGATGGCACATTTACATTTGCCAGCAAATACTTTTTTTGGTTTCAAGGTTCTGAAAATTGAGGTGCACGTTAGATTCAATGGCACATTAGGTAAAGGTAAAGCTACCCCTGCCCGTACAGGCCAGTCTTGACAGACTCTAGGGTTGTGCGCTCATCTCACTCTAGAGGCCGGGAGCCAGTGCTGTCCGCAGACACTTCCGGGTCACGTGGTCATCGTGACAAGCTGCATCTGGCGAGCCAGCGCAGCACACGGAACGCCGTTTACCTTCCTGCTGGTAAGCGGTCCCTATTTATCTACTTGCACCCGGGGGTGTTTTCGAACTGATAGGTTGGCAGGCACTGGGACCGAACGATGGAAGCGCACCCCGCCATGGGGATTCGAACCGCCGACCATGCGATCGGCAAGTCCTAGGCGCTGAGGTTTTACCCACAGTGCCACCCGTGTCGAGTAAATACGGTAATGTCAAATTATCCTTTCGTATGTAGAGTTATATAGTAAGTAGAAGTAAAATGTAGGTAAGTCATCAGAGTTGCAGCCCTGCATCAGAATAAGAACATGGGGAGCTGCCTTATACAGAGTCAGACCATTGGCTCATCTAACTCAGTGACTGGCAGTGGCTCTGCAGGCAGCAGCCTCTCCCAGATGTTTCTGGAGATCACAGAGGTTGACCCTGGGACCTTCCACATGCAAGGCACATACCCTACTGCTAAGTAGGGCTGGGCGATATCTGGTTTTCAACATGGTGATATATCCCCAGCAAAATATCATGATATATCAGTCTGAAATAAGGATGGAGCTATGTAGAGGCACTGGCTGGCTTCACAGTTTCTCCTGTATTGTCATTTTTGCATAGCGCGCGCGCGCACACACACACACACACACACACACACACAGAGATAACGATTTGTGAAATATTGCCAGGTCAAAAATTACAAAACCAATATCACAATACGGACTTCAAACTGGTTTGGGGTGATATATTGATATATCGCCCAGCCCTACGGCTGAGTTATGACCCTTCCCCAATACTGCTTTTCAAGTCCCACGGAAGAAGAAAGGATTTCTACAACTGTGTTCAAAGGCACAATTGTATTTATAAAACCACATTTCCTCTAAGGAGCTCAGGGTAATACATGCGTCTCTTTCCCCCCGCTCTCCATTTTGTCCTCACAATTGCCTGGTGGAGAAGGCGGCTATTGCAGAGAGTATGGCTGCCCCAGGGCCACACACTTTTGAACCAGAGTCCCCCCAGTCCTAGCCCAACACACGAATCTCTACAACACAATGGTTCTCATTGCACCCTCAAAACCCAACCCTAGGGCTACAAGCATTCTTAAGATATTAATACTGCCCACACTATATCCTAGCTTGTATCTTGTGTATATATAAAAAAGGAAAAAGAAATATTCCATGTAAACTTGAGAAACGTACCTGATGATACCTTGGTCCAGTGTATTATTGGCCGAGGGTTCCCACTGGCTTCGCAAGGGATGAAAGCATCTGAATTAGCCAAGACCGTAAACGCTGCCAGTTTCCCTCCAATTATCCAGGGTCTTGCCCCCCTGCGTTGGTGGAACAAATCTAAGGTTATCTGATTGGTGGTAGCGACTTCCTGGTCTATGGTCTTCTCAGCCCAATTCTTCACCTGATTGTTCTTATCCTTCGTCCACAAAGGAGTATATTGAGTGGAGCTCTGTGGGGACTTAAATCTGCCCAATGTGCTGACCGTGAAAGTTTTGCCACTTTCTGCAGCCTCCTGCCAAGACAGTTCCCCCTGCCTGGGAGATGCAGTGGTTGGTGTGATAGCCGGCATGAGCGTTGTTTGGGGTGCTAATGGGCTAGGAGACTGTGTGCTGGGGTATCTTGCATTAGTAGGAGTTTGGGTACTCATCTCAGTTTTAAGAGAAAAAGCTGCTTTTGTTGTTTGGCCTTTTTTGCTAGCTTCCCATCCTACAGTCTGTTCTGATTCCTTATCAGCACCCACTGTAGTAGCCAGAGTTAGTCTGCTGGACTCTGGCGCCCGTGTTACCAAGGATGTGCCTGGTATCGCTGAGATTGTGCTGGCTGTGTCCAAGAACGATACAGTGAGTGGGATCACAGTCACAGGTTTTTCAGAAGACGAGTTACCCACTGCTATCTCAGTAGTGACCGTATTTTCGGTAGGGATATTCCTTATCTGAGTAGCTGGTGTGGATTTATTCTCTGCAACTGTGTCAGTTGTGCCAAGACTGGGTGTCCGTTGTGTAGTTCTAATGGCATCCATACTAGTGGATTTTGAAAACAGTTCATCTGTTAGGGGGCTGGCAGCTTCCCTTATGCTTTCAGCTGTTGTTAAAGAAGGAGAAGCCGTGGGTTTTTTGGACACCGTAGCAGAACCTTTGCTGAGAATGATGTTTCTGTATGAAGACACAGGGTTTTTCAGAGGCCTTCTCCTCCTCTGACCCCTCCTTCTGCCTGGTCTTAACGCTCTGAATCTGGCAACGTTAGTTTTAACACGGACAGTAGTAGTTGGAAAGAGAATTGGTAGGATGCTGGTGGCGGCATCTGTTTCTTTTCCTAGAACAGTTGTAAGATTGGAGGCAAAGGCTGAAGATGGCAATTTTGCAGCATCAGGCGATAGGAGGGGGACTAGTTTTACTACCATCATATTGTCACTGGTGGGTTGAATTAGGGGATCATCAGTTCGGTTCTCAGTCTTTGAAACAGCCCTTTTATATGTGGGTGATGTTGTGTATGCTGGCATTGGAACTGTAGTTTGGAGAGGCAAAGCAGATACTCTAGGTGAGGGTTCTCTGCTTGTTTGCAACTTGGGTTCCTTCTCCAGTAGCTGCTTTTGTGCACCATTGCTTCCAAAGAAACTATGCAAAGGAATTCCCCCTGTTGAAACAACGGAAGAGGCCTTAGTTCCAAGAGCGGAAAGGGTAGATTTCATAACCAAAGGTGACATGGCAGATGTGGTTTCCATGCCAGTCCTGGGACTATGGATAGTTGCTGTTGGGAGTCTGATGCTAAATGATGGGTTTGCGTCGGTGATTCCTTGTAATGCTGCAGCAGATTTTGCTTCTCGGTGCGATACAACTTGCGTGCTTTCAGGATAGAAGGGGATTGTTGTTGAAGTTGTATGCTCTTCAGCTGCAACCAGTTTGCTTCTTGAGAATGCCCAAAACTGATTTGCAGTTGTTGCTTCTGGGTGATGAGTTTTATATGAAGTGGAAACAGGGGCTTGAGAGACAGTCTGTTCAAGAGATTTTTTGGGAGGAGATAATGCAGGTGTGCTCACTTCTACAGGAGGAGGTAGAGTTGTACTTGCTTGAGCAAACCGTGATTTAACAAAAGCAAATCTATGACCTGCAATGTTGGAAATACGGCCAGGTCTAATTATTCGTCTTCTATTAGAGATTTTTCTTCGTCTGCTATACTGCCTGGGGGGGAGTGGTGGGTTGTGAGTTGTAGCACCCCCAACTACCTTAATCTGCTGGTGAGTGACGATGGTTGAGCTTGAAGGTAACCGAGGCACTATTTTTTGTGTACTGTAAGCATGCATATGACTAAATACATCATCATCAGGAACATTGGCTGTCACTAGAGATACCTGGTGATTGGATTTCTTTGATACTTTCTCAGTTGCCTCTGTAAATAAATCAGGTTTTTCAGTATTTTTGTGGGTAGCTGCAGACAGGGTACTCTTGGTAATATTCATTGCTGGTGTAATTGTTGGTGTGGCTTTTAGATGCAAATTGTTTCTCCCAGATGATATCGAGCTCTGAAAAGTACTTAAAGCTTCTGTAGAAGTACTTGGTGGACTATAAGATGGTGTTGTTAATGGCTCCATGTTGGTAGATAGTGTTTGAGATGCTTCGAGAGAAGTTTTTTCAAGTTTAAGTTCTGAAAGTAACTTCTGGTTCTTGGGTGTCTTGTAATTCATAACCACTGGGCTGGTTACTGGAGTTGTGGTTTCTGTAACCATGCTGGATGTTGCCAAAGAACGGAAATCATTTGACATGCTTCCAAATTCTGCTGTCACTACATTTCCAGAGGCTTCTCTCAGAGTGGATATCGCAGGTCTTTTAGTTGCTAGTAGAATAAATCCTTCCTCTGGAAATATATCATCTCCAGATGTCTCTTCCAGATTTTCAGAAGTCTTTGAGGACAACAGAACCTTTACTGTTGGTTTTGCTGTGGCGTTTTCTTGCTTTCTTGGAAAAGTGGCTTTTTTCTTCGTTTTTTCCAAAAATGCTGCCCAGCGCAATGGATCAATTCTCCTAGTGGAAGGATCAAATTGCCTCAGGCGCCCTCTAAACCGTTTGTTCGTCTTGTCCTTGTTGCGCCTGTAAATCTCTTTGCGATTGGCACTGGCTTTGTTCTGCGTGGGCTGATTTATATATGAATCTTTAGTGGGTTCCTCGCTGCTTACTTGGGTTTGCCTGGCAGATGAAGGATTTTGAGGTTTGGTGGTAACTTTGTACTCTTCATTGCCAGATCCTTCTGCTGCTTCATCCTCTAGCTGAATATCGAGTTTTTGTGTCCTGTTCAAATTCCTTTCAACTACTACTTGGTAAACCAAAATATCAACGCCATACTTATTAGCAGCGACACACGTGAAGTAACCACCATCCCGGTCTGTTGTTCTTTGTATTTTTAATGTGCCGTTGTGAAAAAGAAGCTTGTTTTTTGAAGAGTGGTGAAGAACCATGTGCTCAGGTAAGATCCAGGTAACAGGGGCATCTGGGGCACCTGTAGACGGGCATGGAAGGTGAAGTGTGTCACCTAAAAATATGGAAAATTGAGGGCCGTTTAAATGGCTGTGTTCTATATAAGGATCTATCACAGTAATCCTAACAGTCAGGACATCAGCATCAACATAATTGGTTCCTATACAGTGATAAACGCCACTGTCAAAATTATCTGCTGCACGCAACATGAGTTTTCCAGATTTTTTTATCACGATTCTCCCATCTTCACTAATATATGGTGCTCTAATCTTGCTCCCATCTGCTAATACCCACTCAATTACAGGGGTAGGGTCTCCAAGCGCTTGGCAGTCCAGTTCCACAGACCCCCCTACTAAAACGGTATATTCAGTTATTGTGGTGTTTTCTTGTAAGATCATGGCCCAGTTTTGCCGTTCCGATTTTGGGAGATTCACTGGGAGGGCAATTTGAGCATTTGTGAAATACTGGATGTGCAGAGTGTTGAGAGTGGTTGAAGTCCTGTCCAGCTGCAATGAAACTTGTTCCTGCATCAACCAGTAAGGCTCAGCTCTCAGTTCAGTTTCTACATCAGTGAATAGCTCGTCATTTTTGGAGTCTGTTTGCTTGTACTTATAACTGATGTAAGGCACTTCTGTCAATAACAGTTCCCTTTCCAGTTTTAACGGAGAATCGCTGTAAAGGGCCAGGAGGCTCCACAACTGCTGAATATACTCGTGGTCAATGCTACACACAAGGAATGTTGAGAAGGATACTTCAAGTACTGTGGTGTTGTCGATTTTGTTTAGTGTAACTGGAGACATCTTTGCAGGCTTTTGCACATTGCAGATCAGGTTTGCTCGATTTCCAGCTTGGTCTGTCATGTTGAATACCATGGATCCTATGGGAGCCATAAAATCTCTGGGAGAAACTGACGTAAAGCCACCATCACCGGGAGCAGTGATGTTTTTCAGTTTCAAGGCTGGGTCTATAGTTGGCTTAACACAATTAAAATCTGAGGGTTGCATGCTGCTTAACTGCTTGCCTTTAAAAATTCCAGGATTGGCACACAATGGGCATTGCAGAACACCAGAAACACCTCTGTCTTTTTTGCACTTGACAACATCTGGAAAGGAGATAGAAACGGTAAAAATCATTTTTGCTTGACTGATTCACGCATAAAAGCAACAGGTCCTGTTATGCTGATAGATATTTCTGGTGTCCATGAAATATGACAGACCTCAGTCAGCAATCATTTGGATCTGTTTAGGAGCCAGCCAGTACAGTAATTGATGATTAGCCATGGTTACTACAGAATGGGAAGGAAAGGAACCAGAACAAGGACAAAGGCCTAGGACTCAGCCCTCAGAATCAGCACAGGGGCAAGAGGATGCTAGATGTAGACATTAGAAAAATTAAACAAGAACAGAGAAGACAGATTTGGGTAAGGCTACAAGTTTAATGCCCATTGCCCAAAGTTTATGTTGGAATCTGAACTTCGGTTCTGTGTTATCTCTAGTTCCCATCTTGCTTCAATGCGCATGTTCTTGGCCCTAGATTCCCCCCCCCCCCACTTTCTAAAAGGCATGCAAATGCATAATTGCATTCAGAAAACTGTTCGTTCCTTGCCCACCACCGGTCTAGCAACAAAATAGTTCCCAATGATAGAAAATATCTACTCTCCCACCCCACTGGTTAGGAATGCTTCCACCATGGGTTTCAAATTATTTCAAACAAGAGTTGAACATATCATTTTTAAGAGGTATTCCATTTTTCTACTTGGTATTGTAATTGGAAATATATTAGAACACGTTGTTGTTCTGTCTGTTACTCATTTATACAAGTTTTTGCAATAAAAACATATGCTGTAGGATCAGAACAGTAACCTATCTGTGGTTATATCTTTAAACGGCGGCAAATACATATTTGGGGGAGGAATTTTGCCAGACACAGTTTTATTTGAGATTGTTCTATTTTATTCATTTAAAGTTTTTGGCAGCTCCATAATGTGAAGTTTGTAACACAAGCTTCTTGCCACATACCAGAGAAGGGGGAGGAAGTTGCATTTTTCTCTTATAACTTTGGGATAATATAAACAAGAGAGGAACAAAGGCTAGATTCCTGTGGAAGTTCTATTCAAGAGCTGTCAAATCTCTAGACCATTTTGGTGAAAATTCTCATTTCTGTATTATCTTTCCAGGGAATCATTTGTCAAACACATCTTTTGGTGAAGCAGTCCAGGGGGAAAATCCCTTCTGTTTACAATTAGTTATGAAAACAATGGATTCAAATATAGCAAACTCTACTGAGAGCCAGTGTGGTGTAGTGGTTGAGAGCGGTAGTCTTGTAATCTGGGGAACTGGGTTCGCGTCTCCGCTCCTCCACATGCAGCTGCTGGGTGACCTTGGGCCAGTCACACTTCCTTGAAGTCTCTCAGCCCCACTCACCTCACAGAGTGTTTGTTGTGGGGGAGGAAGGGAAAGGAGAATGTTAGCCGCTTTGAGACTCCTTAAAGGGAGTGAAAGGCGGGATATCAAATCCAAACTCTTCTTCTTCTTCTTCTTCTACTGTTCCATTAATAAAGAAAATGTGACTGACTCTGCAAACTTGAAAGTGCTCTAATGTAAAATGAAATACATTAAAATATTCTGTATTTATGATCAAGAAGGCTGCAACATTTTCTTTAATAAAAAGGGCACCCCAATTAATCTGGCATCAGATTTTTTAGTGAATACAAGTACTGATGACAGTAAAACTGTACAAAAACTAGGTTGCAGGCACACTTGAGGGAAAGCTTCATCTAATGTGCCAGGCGTGATGCACTCAAGCACAATCTTAAAACAAAATCCATGTGCTTTTTCAGAACCATCAGCCTTGCGTCTGATCAACGTAAGATTTATTTAATCAGCTGTTAGCCCTAGTGGTTAGATTTTATTTGAAGGAGGATGTGGTCTCTCAGATTTTCTTTTCTTTAAGGTATGCGATGCTATGCTGAAAATCCTAACAATTATTGCGGTGCTGTGATTCCTGGCCACTGAAAATTAAAGTGCTGGCGAAAATTAGAATAGCTTAAAGGAGACCTCCGGCAGTTTGAGGTATTTTCTTACACATGTTCTGTGGGGAAATAGCTGGTTAAGTAGCACTGCCAACAGAACCAATGGCCCTTTTCAGGAAGAGTGGGACACGGGTGGCGCTGTGGGCTAAACCACAGAGCCTAGGACTTGCTGATCAGAAGGTCGGCGGTTCGAATCCCTGCGACGGGGTGAGCTCCCATTGCTCGGTCCCTGCTCCTGCCAACCTAGCAGTTCGAAAGCACGTCAAAGTGTAAGTAGATTAATAGGTACCGCTCTGGTGGGAAGGTAAACGGCGTTTCCGTGTGCTGCTCTGGTTCGCCAGAAGCAGCTTAGTCATGCTGGCCGCATGACCCGGAAGCTCGGCCAATAAAGCGAGATGAGCGCCACAACCCCAGAGTCGGGCACGACTGGACCTAATGGTCAGGGGTCCCTTTACCTTTACCCTCTCAATATGAAGTAGAGAGTGTAGCTATTGGGGGAAAAGGAATTCTTATTGGTGGTCCCCTTGTTGCAGGACAAGCTATCTGGGTGGGGTGGGGGCTCACCTGCCACCTACATTAATGCATTTTCAACAGCAAATACTTTTTTGTTGTTCTCCCAAGCCTTTTAACATAATTGTATCTGCTTTTAACACCATTTAAACATTGATAGCAATATTTCAGTCTCTGCTTTTATGGTGGTGGGTTGTTTTTAGCCCTTAATAATAGTGCTTAGACTATTGGACTATGGCTAGCATGGTGTTTTATTCCTTGTCGGTGGTTCTGCATTTTTGTGATTTCTGATATCAATGGTGTAATATGTTCTTAAATTGCTTTAATGCTATTACATTATGGGATAACTGGCACATAATACAATACACAGAGTAACCGCAAAGGCTTCAAATGGACTATTTAACAGCCACATGAACCTCCTACTATTTTTATTTTTTATTTTATGGAAACCATTTTGGAATCCTTGTCAGAGGAAGGTAAAAATGCTTCCAGAAATAAATGCAAGTTGAGTATATAAATAAAAAGAGAATATTTGATACCTGGTTGCCGTTCCGCCCACTCACCAAACCATTTCATTTCGCAGTCACAAGCCCAAGGGTTCCCGTGAAGGAAGAGGCTTTCTAACTCGGACATATATATGAAAATGTCTCGAGGCAGAGAAGAAAGCAAGTTGTCAGACAAGTAGATATGCTTTATGGAGGATGTTTTGAACATCTGGAGGTAGCAGAAGGTGACAAAAGTATCCGAGTGAAGCTGCTTGAGCAAATTTCCTTCCAAGTGGACTAGTTTCAGTGATGTAAGGCCATAGAGAGCTTTGGGGTTTACAAATTCAATTTGGTTATGATCCATGTGCAACCGTACCAAACTCATGAGACCATGAAACATGCCTGCTTCAATAACTTTGACTTTGTTATAGCTCATCTTCAAGACCTGTTGACAGAATAATAATAATATTTTAAAAATTGAGCAAAATAGGAACACCATCTGAAGAATAAAAGTCAACCATATTCAAATGTTACATTAAAGCAAGGGGGAAGTTGGTTCAGCAGTGAGAACAACTTTTAAAACTGAAGTTAGGCTGTAAACCTGCACCCATAGTATGTATGCTATTCGTTTTTAAAAGGGCCGAAGGTAAGAATTTGGCACAGCTCTATGCAGAACCAATGATGGATAATTCCCAGTTCATTCTTACCTGCAACCGGCGCAAATCAGAGAATGTCCTGTCTTGAATTGTATGTATCTGATTACTGTGCAACATCAACAACTCCAACTTCTCCAGGCCAGAAAAATCTGTTTCAGTCAGTTTAACCAAACTGTTGTAACTGTAACAAACATTTCATTCCAGATCTGGGTTTAGTCAGTCAGCTATAGTTCAAAGGCAAAACAAACAAACAAAAACAGAGTCTCTCTTTTGCAAATAAGCAAATAAATTTTAGTTAAAACTTGCCATGTCATTTTCAGAATAGCTTTATCAGTACAGTGGCAGATGGAAATTTGTAGGTATGCGCACCCCTGGAATGAATGTCTATGACTTGTGATTATACAGGTTACTTTATTTACTTAAAATAGATATATTCCACTTCCCTGCTGGAGCTCCCAAAGCACAGCAAACCAACAACTTTCCAAACTATATAGTAGATACTCACAAATTCACAATGTAAACAATAAAATGCTATCAAGCTTTCCATGAAGCATACCTCCTAAGTCATCAGCAAAGACCCTGGAATAGTTTAGGCAGGGTTTATACCTTAAAGCCTAACGTCTTAGTGCTCTTTAGTATTCACAATAAGGGTTCATGTCCAGCTCTAGTTATCTGTCACAGTGACTCCTTGCTAGCTTGCAAGTTTCAGTGGAAGTAGTAAGAAGGTCCACTGGGCAGAGCCAGGGCCTCCCCTCACCAAAGCACCGTCGAATGTAACCTGCACTGTGAACAGGGTATTGAACCTGCATTGACACAAGTCATTTACTGAATCCAAATCAGGCACTGGTGCCTTCCCCTGCAATCTTACTCTATGCCTATCCCTAAAGCTACCTATAGTGCAGACAGGTAAGGAGAGTTTGCATGAGTATGGAGGTCCTGCACTACAGGATACAGAAGCAAATGATCAGTGCAGACCAACCATTTTTGGTGTCTCCATCTGCACTGGTCATTAGAGGCACTTGCAACTAAGAACTTTTACTCAGAACAGCTTATTTCCTTCTCCCTCCCTATCTATTTTCCTTTGGTGCTGTCCATTTTTAGAGTGTAAATCTGAGGGCAGAAACATTTTTTAAAGAAGAAGTGACTTGTAAGCCACTTTGGGAACTTTTCTAGCTGAAATGCAAGGAGAGGAAATCTTTAAATAAGTAACAGCTCCCCAGACCTTTCTTCAGTCATACCATACCTATGGTATTCGATAGGATAACCCTGAGGCTTTCATCGGAATACTATACTTGGAGCAGCCAGGGCAGCTAAGCATCATGGGACCTGCAATTCCCATGACACTGAGCTGCCAGGGATGTACTCTAGCTATTTAAAACAAAAACAAAAACCTAGATACCATTGCTTCTGATAATATTGTGGCTGCATCATAAGAGGAGAAGTGAATGAGCCTCAGGCCTATTGTTGCTTCTGTATGTAACGCTAAAACATTGCTTAGTATCACATCCAAAACAGGTACAAGGCTGCCAGTATGAAAAAACAACAAAACGGGAAAGAGAGAAAACTCATGTGATGACAAACACACAGACGGTCCACCCTGTCATCATAGGCAAGTTCAAACTTGGTTAATGTCTCAGTCGATCAAATGAATCAGAGCTTAATTCAAGTGAAAGTTGATACACGGATTGGCAAGGAATGAAGCAAGGTGGTCTTTGATCTCTTCCAAGTCAATGAAATGGGGCTTCACGGATAAGTGTGTGCCCCAGTTAAGTCTACTATGGCATGTTAGTTGTAGCAGGTGGGGGCAACTGGTTCTCCTTACCGCACATTACAAAGTCAAGCAATATTGTTGTAAACCTACCCTAAGTTGATGCGCTCCACATTTGGGGAGATTTGTGCTGGGATGGTAGTGAAATACCGGAATGTGCAATGTACTTCAGTGGGTACATAGCAGGCGCAGTGCTTAGGACACGCACTGCTGCGAGGAAAAACGGCCCAGCAGAACCCAAGCAGAAATCCTAGAAAACAGGGGTTGCGTCTTCCTGTTCCTTCCATCCTGCATGGAGACCTTGACGCAACAGCAAGCGTGGACAAACAAAACTGTAGGGAACAGAACACAACACAAGTTATCGTGTCAAGATGAGACGTCACAAATTTGTATCTTTGACCTCAGGACTTGTTTAGAATAAAGCCTGCCTTAGAAACAGTACAGGAAAGGTCCTTCGTATTATTTTTTTAAAAAAACACACACGCAACAACTCTGCAGGGGTTTCTTGTTTGTTTTTTAAGAAAATAACATTCCTTCGCAGCTTCTTTCTTTTAGTGAATGTGGGGAGGGGAGAGAGTTCGTGTTGACAGGTATTAAAAACTGAAATCTGACACGCTACTGAGTCTATTGTTCCAAATAAATAAGCCCACTCTTTCATTATTTAGAGTGTTCATAAATCTGTTTGTGGTTTGTCTTTGCCAAAAAACACGTTGGGTCCTTCTTTGCCAAGTAATTTAGGACTCAGAAAAAGAAAAAAAACCAAGAAGTTTAGAAGACGACTGTGGTGGTTAAGAAAGTTAATAAGCTATGACAGGACTGACAGCAGTTAAACTTTATCCCACTTTCTCCATGGTTTTTAGATTTTACAAGCAGTGCCCCCTTCCTCCTCCTCCTGTTTTGCTAATGCTGCAGAATCAGAGCAGAGTTCAACTGTAGATTAAAGGGGCACTGAGTAGTCTTATATTTGAATAAACAGTGTTTACTGTTTGGCTAGGTTAATTTTAGATTAATTAATATTTTGGAAGTAAATGCTAGATTTCCAGTACAGAGTCCTGAGTCAATACTGAGCATTCTATAGCGCTTTTGAATGTACGAAGCACTCCACTCCTTAAGAGTAATACATACTGAGTAATTAATTTCACAAGCTAGCATAATAATTGCAGAATCTAGAAGGTTAGAATGGTGGACTCTATTGCTCTAGCATGCTGCAAATGCTTAGGGAGTGTCAGGGAGAGGCAGCTTCAAATCCCTACTCCGCTTTGCCAGCCCTCTAGATGACAGTGGGCCAGTCACCCACTCTCAGCCTAGCCAACCTCATAGGGGTGTTGTGTGTGTAGGGGGGGGCAAATAAGGTATTTCTATCCTAGCTTAGAGGGTGGTGTGATATGAATACTGATGATAATAATAATAACAATAACAATAATAATAATAATAATAGATAGGGATGTATGGAAGTGAGAGCTGGACCATAAAGAAGGCTGATCGCTGAAGAATTGATGCTTTTGAATTATGGTGCTGGAGGAGACTCTTGAGAGTCCCATGGACTGCAAGAAGATCAAACCTATCCATTCTTAAGGAAATCAGCCCTGAGTGTCCACTGGAAGGACAGATTCTGAAGCTAAGGCTCCAATACTTTGGCCACCTCATGAGAAGAGAAGACTCCCTGGAAAAGACCCTAATGTTGGGAAAGATGGAGGGCACAAGGAAAAGGGGACAACAGAGGACGAGATGGTTGGACAGTGTTCTTGAAGCTACCAGCCTGAGTTTAACCAAACTGCAGGAGGCAGTGGAAGACAGGAGTGCCTGGTGTGCTCTGGTCCATGGGGTCACAAAGAGTCGGACACGACTAAACGACTAAACAAAAACAACAACAGAAATGATTGCTGTTTTTGATTCCAGCCCCTCTCCTCCCCAAATCTCTAATAAGGCATAGTGAGTTCACGGCAGAGCCCAGATCTTACCCAGATCCTATCTCATTCCAGCTACAGTAGCTTCTGCAAGGTGATCAAGTTTCTCAACATTCACCTCACAGACAAGAGAAATTTGTCGCTGTCCTTTTGCAGACAGGGTTGCTGATCGTCATTACGCACGGACATTGTTGGGAGATCTGCTCTTAATTACTTCTTTTCTCCCTCTTCGTGCATGTGGTTTGCTGCATGAAAGGAGCCGGCGGCTGCATGCACAAAATAGCGATTGCGTAACATGACCAAAGGGATGCTTGGGCGGGGAACAAGAAAAAGTCCGGCCGGCAGCCTTTAAGTTGTCACCAAAGTTCATCCTCCTTGGAGCAGACCCATTGTGTGCATAATAGACAGGGCTGACTTAGGTCCATTAATTTCAGTGCGTCTAGTCTAAGTAAAACCCTTTGAAAGCAATGAATGACACCAATGGCATCCTTCCTTTTGCAGTTGCCACCCAACTTCTTTCAGTGATAAGCCAGGCTTCTGGAAAGAAATCCATAGCACCACACCATTTTTAAAAAAATGCACCACAGCAATAAGAAGCAAATAAATTACAAATAAAGAGCATGCACCCCCCAAGTAAGTTCTCCAAAGCAGCCTCAGAAATAATCTCTACTCACTTGCAGGCTGCTGTAGCAGCAACCCAAAGTTCCCCACACATTTAAACAAAAAACCCCACGTTTATTATGGCATAAGCTCTCTCGGACTAAAGTTCCCTTTTATCAGATGCATTGAAGGGTTGTGCTCAGTTGACAGGTGGCCTTTTGCAGAGTCCTTGAGGAGGGGGGAAAGGATGGAGCCCACCGCCACGAACCTGAGTTAAAACCAGCAGAAAGAGAGTCGAAGGGACTGTCCTTACCTGCGCTGTATTCCCCTTTCTTTCTTCCTCAATAGCCCTCCATCTTCTCCTGCCGCCCACCGAGATCCTGCTCATAAATGGAGAGGCAAAAAGTTCACGAGCTTCCTAAGGCTGCGAGGGAGGGAGAAGCCGCCGCAGAGGTGAGAGGAGGAAAGTTTGCGAGGAACACCAGAAACACGCCCCCCGGCCCTGTTGTGGCGCGAGGGAGGGAGAGAGGGCTTGGCCGCCTCGCCAAGCGAGAAACGGAAAAGCCTTGGCGCGCTCCGCTGCTCGCCGGACCCTCGCCAAGCGTCTGGGCTTCCCCGAATCGCCTCAAAGAGAAATGTGGAGGGGTGGGGTGTCCACTGGCCGGCTCTCTCTTTCTGGGCTTGCTCACACGCCCCCTTACTCCCGGCGACGGGGGATGGAAGGGAGCGCGGAGGCGTCGCCTGCAATGGGGGGCTCCTCGCGCGCTCCAAAGCCTTTACGCTTCGCAGCCGAGCTCTGGGTCTTTCCCCCGCCGAGGGCTTTGTTGCCCCTTTGCGCCCGCTAGCTCGTTCCCGAGAGCGTCCTCCCGTTTGCGCCACACTCTCCTTCAAATTCTCCCGCTGTTTCCCGGGCGCTGCCTCAGTCAGCGCCGCTTTGACGCCCTCCTCGCGGGTCCGTTTATCTCCTCAGTCTAAGCCCTTCAGAGCTCCTCTCTTGAGAAAGGACTTCAAAAAGCAGCCGCGTGTGAGAGGGCGTAAAAAAAAGCAAGCGCAGAAAATCTAAAGTGTGGTGAGGGGACACCCCGGCCAACCTATTATCAGACGGGTATCCCCTAGGATGGACCAGTTATCTCAGCCTCCTCATCTCAACCCTTTAATTTTCCCTCCTCTCAACTGGTTCCCTCAGAGATGGGGGACCTTCATGGGACAAAGGGCATGGGTGGCTAGAAATGGGTGACAAACCCAAGGGGCTGGCTAGAAATATTATTGAAAAGCATTGGAAGTACTCAATTATCTGAGGTTCTGCTCCCGCCCCAGCAGAAGCCTGCCCCCTCCCCCCGCAATATCCCAATTTATGGGACATTTTTATCTGTGATTTCCCAAGAGAAGCTCAACAACTTTGCCCCCCTCCTAACAAAGAATCCCTGCTGTGCCTGCCCTCAGGGCTTACAGCCACAGGGTATTTCAGCCAGAGATGTGCTGGATTCTAACCCTGTTTATCCCAGTAGATCTTGCTATAGCAGTGGTGTCCAAACTTTTTTCAAAGAGGCCAGATTTGATGAAGTGAAGGGCCATGAGGGCCGATCAAAGGGCCGACCAAAGATGTTGACCTTTTTTAGGATTGAATTTGTCGAGGTTTTTTTTAGGATTTCACCCCAGGAAAGAAACTGCCACAGGGGCCGGATTAGACCAACTAGCTGGCCGGATTAGCCCCCCCGGAATGGACTTTGGACATGCCTGTGCTATAGGATTGCCCTGGGGGCAGACTTTGGTAATCTTTCGTAATATGGCACCCTGTTTGAAGTCATAATTTGGCTCCCCAAAATAGGATCTTCTCAATATTGTGCCCACTTGGCTCTGTGACCTGTGGGGGGGAACCACTTGCAGCAGCACCCTAAATCCAGTGATGCTTGCTCCCTTATTAAGTTTTCCCATTTGAATCATTGGGCCTTACTTTCGAGTAAACATACTTGAGATCATCATCACACTGTTAGTTTTCCCAGTTCAATATTCTCCCCTTTATATAATCTGACTATTCAGGTGCCAACAAATTTAAATGTCTTTGAAAAAGCAATCTCTTCCCACTCAGCAAATATTGAAACTTTCTGTTATGGCAAGCCAGGGCTGGCATTTAGCATTAGGCAGATTAAATCTGTTGCCATGGGCCACAGATTTTAGAGGCCAATGATTTTAGCAAACTTCCACCAATTAAATTGTGTCCTATTTTTGTTTGCTGCTGGGATGATGCTATTTTGCCTTTTCTGCTTCATGTGCCAAAATATATTTGGCTGGCTCTCTTATATCCTTGCTTTCCTGCCTGCACTATAGCACTAAAACTCTTGTCTTCACGAGAACATGTTATTATGAGGTCCCCATTTGCTTGCTTATTTACTTTCTAAGTACTCTAGCCAATATTTGTTTTAACAATGGAAAGGACATTTTATCAATGAAGAATCAAGTTACTTTTTGGGTTCATGTTTGTAATGATCCATCCGATGCATTTTTTTAAAGGATTCTGGTATCCTCTGGTTGAACCTTATAGATGTTTGCCCATTTATTTTCCCCTCTTAATCACCGGTATTTGTTAACATTTTGGATATTACTCTTATCACTTTACAGCCTTGCTTTTAAGAACTGCATGTACAAATTTCAATGCAAGTAAACCTTGAGTCTAAAACTGTTGTTACACCTAAAAAGCAGAAAGTTGCTCATGTGCATTGTGTTAAAAAAAGTTTGTTTTGCTAGCAGTTCTAGGAACTTTTTACATCCATATGCACAGTACAGCATTTTAAAAGGGTGGTAGTATTTCATTTCTTTGGATGAAACTTTTAAGAACAAATGTAAACCCACAGTAATTCCTAGGGAGCAGAATGAATGGGGTAGAAAAAAGCCCTTCCTTTTCACACATCCACACCCCCTAAGTTTCTGTCAGACAGAATTGGAGTCAAATACTATTGAGACTTGGCAGTTGACCCCACAACATCAACCATCCAATTCAAGCTGGTGTGTTCCCAGTATGCTTTAGAAACTCCACTTGGCCCAATTTAGAAAGACTTCTGTAGAAATGGCTCCCGACAGGGCCGGCTTTAGGTTTGATGAGGCCCTAAGCTACTGAAGGTAATGGGGCCCTTTATATGTCCAGCTGTCCTATGTCAACAACAAATTGTCACTGTTTTTTGTGCTTAATATATGCTATATGGTAATTTATGGGCCTAATAGGTTTCTATAGTGATTTTATTTGTTTTTTTATCATATTTTGGAAATGTACATCCAGTTTTTTCCTTTAAATTTTTTTGGGGGCCCTCAAGAGAGTGCGGCCCTAAGCTATAGCTTGTTTAGCTTATACGTAAATCCGGCACTGTTCCCACAGATCCTCAGTAGCAACTGCAGCAGCAGTAACACCAAATTTAATCATGCTCCCAATTTCAACAGGCCCCACAGAAGAGAGAGAGAGAGAGAGAGAGAGAGAGAGAGAGAAGACAGAGTGACAAAGCCCACTGTCAACTTTTCATTGGTCTAGTAGAGAGCTTGCCAAACTTTTTGGGCCAATGGGCACATTTGGAATTTTGAGGAAGTGTCGTGAGCACCAGTCACAAAATGGCTGCAGTGAGGACATGATGTAAAACAAAATGGCTGCCATCAGGAGGCGGCAGAGCACGAAACGGCTGCTGCATCTAATAGAGCAGAAAAAGAGATAGGCCTGCTATATCAAATTGCATTCTTCATACTTTTAACGAATGAGTCCTAGCAGCTGAGGGTCACAGGCATGCTAGCAAAGGGTATTCTTCAGTGGGAAGGGGAGTACTGCAATTTTAATAGGAATATTTTGTTGAGCTTTTCTATCAAGTTAAAGTTTTCTATCAAGTAGAGAGATTCCAAGTGTGTCCAAAGGTGCAAATGTCACGACTGATGCCCTTAAAGTATAAATTAATACAACTCCATTCTGGTTTTATCATTTGCATTTGGAGAAAGCACTGAATAGCTGGGGAACATCCAGCCCCCCCAGCCCCCGCTTTTTACACGAGCATCTTCTGTGAATAATTGGAGATCTGATGTTGAGAAGCCCATGGAAAAGACTGGCTGACCACAATTATTCATGCTTCAACAACCTCCAGGCTGGATTACTATGAGATGGTCTATGTGTGGCTGCCTCTGAAGAGCATCCAGTTTAGCTTCAACTGATCCAAATACCTCTGCCAGATTGTGGTCTGGGTCTGGCTGCCTGGAGTATGTGGCTACGGTGATAGCCCTGTTTGGTTTCATTGGCTACCTACACAATTCTGGGCTCAGTTTAAGGGATTATAGAATCAGAATTGTAGAGTTGGCAAGGACCATGAGGGTCTTCTGGTCGAACTCCCTGCAATACAAGAATCATTTCTCCCAACGTGGGATTTGAACCCACCACCCTCAGATTAAGAGTCTCATGTTCTACCAACTGAGCTGGTTCCAATAAGGATGCAAGAGCATCACTCTGGTTACCCCAAAAACAATGTAGGCAGAAGATTCAGTGTGAATCACTCAAGAGTGTCACTTTTCTGCTGCTGGGTGTGCAGCCCCAGTCCAATCCCTGATACTTAAATTACCATTACTTCTGCCAGCCATAGGATAAATAGTGCCCTAGATGAGGAGGCAGCCCCTGCCCCAGTGGCCAGCTTTGCAGGGCCACCCAGAGGGGCTATGTGCAGGTGTGATGTTGTGGGCCCTGCTGCTGCCTCCTACATGGACGCATGCATGTACGTACAAAGCTGGGTGCTACATGCAAGAATTATTGCATGCTTGAACTACAAATTCTTGCCTGCTCCTGCTCCTCCTCCTCCTCGCCCTGGGATCAAGCAGTAAAGCTGTCTTCTGCTTTTACCTAGCGCAAAAAACATCCAAGTTCAAATGGAAACAGAAATATACTTTAAAGCTGAAGGGACGAAGATCGTTTTTGTAATTAGCACTGTAGCACCTTGAAAAAGAAAAAAAGAAAAAAGGTTATAGGCGCTTGCTTTTTGCCAGCCTAGCTCAATGCAGACACTTCATTAAAAAAACCCACAGCCACTTAGCTCAGCTTGGCAACCCCTCAGCTCAGCTTGGCAACCCCTTGAGCTGAGTTTAGACACTTCCTTTTTGCAGCCTAGCTGAATTCAGACAGTACATTGAAACAAAAAAATATATGCCTGGAAGCACTGGGAAAAGGCAGAGTCGTGGTAGTAGTGTAAGCTGCCACATGTAGGCTTGGCCAAATAGTGTCCGTAATTTTAAAGCCATTAACAGTATGTGGCTGAGGTCCCATAAGGGCCTTCTCCCATATATTCCCATATACAGAGGTACCTTGGGTTAAGAACTTAATTCGTTCTGGAGATCTGTTCTTAACCTGAAACTGTTCTTAACCTGAGGTACCACTTTAGCTAATGGGGCCTC